GGTAGCTTAGCTTCACCTATCTTTTTCGATTAATATTGTTATTGGATTAAATCAATCTAGCACTCGGTAGGTTATTCGGTAGCTAAGAGATTAATCGGGCATCATATATTCGATTAACGACTAAGTAAGGAAAGATTGGAAACAACATACATATTATCTTATAATGAATATTCATATTTAGTATAAGTTAATTATTTAATCAATGATCGGTGACCAAACTAAAGATGAATACCGAAGTTTAACCAAGGTTCTCTTAATATTGTTATTTTATTTTATTTGTTTTTAAGCACTTTGAATACAAAACCCCGCTTTTACATTACAAGAACACCCTACCAAAAGAAACAATCGATTTAGCCTCCTTTTACGTAGGTTCAACTCTTACTTTTCTTGATTAAATTATCATGATTGAAAGCTTTATAAGAAAAATACAAATTAATAATTTGTTAACGGTACGACACGCCATCAAATTTTGGTGCTATTATTGAGGATTGCGATTGAAATTAATTATATTTGGCACTTTGATTGTTCTTATGTTTTTATTGTGATTGGTATATGATCGAGTCTTAACGGAGAGAGTTTATTTTCAACCTTAAACCGGAGAGAGAATTGAGAAAATTAAAAAGAAAAGTTAGGCTAGCTTCAATAGAAAGAATTAAATCATTCGAGAGAGTGGTTTCATCGGGCATAATCATTATTCTTGAGTTTCGTCGTCGAGTGGTTCCGATAGAGAAAACATGGCTACAAATAGGGTGAATTGAACTTTAAAGAAGTCGGCTACTCCCGACTTTAATCGACGAACCCCCATGTATCGAGTTCTCTAATCTTGATGTGGCTTTTAAACTTGAATCAAAGCTGATACACTTCGTCGCCTAAATTTTTAGATCTAGCTTGAGAAGACTCCTATAAATATTTAGAGAAGTTCTATGTGGTCTACCCAACCATTAGACCATAAAAGGTATTGGAGGAGTAGATTAAATTGAAGGTATTTCCTTTTTCATTGGATGGAGATGCTAAGGACTAGTTTTATTGTCTCTACGAGATCAATTGATTCATGAAACGGAATGAAGTATGCCATCTTAATGAAATATTTTCCCTCTTCAAGAGCTATAAGTATAAGAAAATAAACCTATGGGATTAGACAGACTTACTAGAGAGACACTCGTATGAGTATTAGGAGTGGTTCAAGAAATTATATTCCAACTATCCACACCACCGGATCTTAGATCAATTGTTGATTGTGTACTTTTATGAAGGTTTATTCCCTATAAAGAGGTGCATGATAGATGCTGATAAGTGAATAAAACATTCGATATCGCGAGAGCTTTAATATCGAACATGGCTACAAATTTATAATAGTTTGGTGCAAGGATTGATCATGTATCCATGAGGGTAAATTAAGTCAACATCTCTAGTTTGGAGCAACGAAATGTCCGACTTGACTTCATTAGTAAGGCAAATAATTGCATTATCGTGATTGAAAGCTTTGTAAGAAAAATACAAATTAATAATTTGTTAGTGGTATGACACTCCATCGTGTCTCTAGAATAAATAATAGAGTGAAAATAACAAAAACTAACGTAGGAACAACACCACTCATAAGAAAATTATTATGTGAATTATTTTATTATGATGATGAGACATTAAGTGTGAATATAAAGTAAAAAGTATCTTATTGAGATTTGTGTGGTATAACAAAATTTGTCGTTTATATATAAATATAATATAATGGCATTGGTAAAACTTTTATGCAGTTATAAAACCAAACAAAATTGAAGAATACTACAATATGATTCTTCCTTGTTTCTTTTTTGACTTTGTGGCACACGTAACTTATGCATGTCTATTTTTCGTATTTACATAAGATTTTGTTAGCGAAGAAGATTAAAAAGGGTAAATTTGGATGAATTTAAACTTATTTTTCATTATTACACTCGTATGAGTTAATATGACAATAACTTTGTATTTAAAATTCATAATAAAAAGTCTTTACATATAAAGTGATTTCTATAAAGTGAACTATATACGAAATTTATTTTTTTATTAATTAGGATGAGACATATTGTTTTAATATAAAGGGAAATGTATCTTATCAAAATTTATATGGTCCAACAAAATCTATCATTTTTATATAAATATGGTATAATGGTATTGGTATATCTCGCTTTTATGCACATTTAATGATAAGATATTTAAATACTTTAATGCGATTTCCTCTTATTTCTTTAACTATGTGGGACCCATTGTTATGTGTATCTACTCTTTGTATTCACATGAGTTTATGTTCATAAAAAAATTAGAAAAAAAGTAAAATTTGAATGAAGTTAAACTTAAGTGTTCAATAGCCATTACACTCTTTATCGCCTAATATGATAATAACTTTGTATCTAAAATTTATTCAAAAAAGTCTTTACATATAAAGTGATTTATATAAAGGAAAGATATGTTAAATTTATTTTTAAAGCCATTTGATGTGAATATAAAGTAGAAAATGTATCTTATTGAGATTTGTCTCGGTGCAACTTAATATGATAAATTTGATATAATGGTATTAGTAAAACTGTCCTCCATGAAGTATAATAACAAAATATTAAATACTTTAGTGCAATTCCTTTTTATTTTTTTAACTACATGGAACACATTGCCTGAGTAAATCTATTCTTTGTATTCGTATAAGATATTGGTCACATAAACGATAAAAATAAAAGCAAGCAAACAAATAATGAGATTTTGATGAATTCAAACTTAAGTTTCCAAATGTTATTACATTTTATATAAGTTCATATAATAATAGTTTTGCTTCTAAAACTCATGCCAAAAAGTATTTACATATAAAGTAATGTGTATAAAGTGAAATAGATGTGAAATTTATTTTTTATTAATTAGGATCAGACATTTGGCATAAATATAAATAGAATATATATTATTGAGATTGGTATGATGTAACAGAATATGTAATTTATATATAAATATGCTATAATTATATTGATAAAATTATCTTCCATGTACGAGTAATGACAAAATATTTGAACACTTTAATGTGATTTCTTTTTATTTTTTTAACTACGTTGCACACATTATTTCTATGATCTATTCTCCATACTAGTAAACGATTTTGTTCATGCAAAAAGATAAAAAAATATATATATATACTGAAATTTGGATCAATTTAAACTTAAGATTTCAATATTCATTATCCTTTGTATCAAGTGATACGATAATGGTTTGGATCTAATACTAATGTTAATAGTAACTTAATGGATGATGTAAAATAAGATTAATTATTATAAATATCTATTTGAAATAGGACATGCTTGACATGGTGTACTTAACCCAAATCAAAATTCAAATTGATTTCTTTTTCCCATATTATCCTACTAAATTCTACAAAATTTATTGATTAATTTCTTATTCTTGTTTTAGAAAAGTCAGATGAATTAAATGTACAAAATAAAAAATTAATAAATTTTTGGTTTCTTAGCCTTCTGTATTTCGAAAAAACAAGTTTTTTTTTCCTTGCGGAAAGCAATGTTTTTGTCTTGATTATAGGTTGCTACCCACCACTAGCTGCAGGTTTTCCTTTAATCTCTTAGAAAATGGAGCAAGAAATTGAATAAAGCTCTAACTTTATAACTCTATCACTGTTCGAAATCTGTAAGAGCACTATAAATATTACCCAAAAATAGCAAAAGTAGCCAAATTCAGTTTTATGAAAGCAAACATTGCAGTATAAAGTCACTGTCAATCTATAAAGCAAAAGACGAAACAAGCCTCACTTACGTTTATCACGATAAAAGCAAATTTCTCACCAAACATTAATCGTACGAGATAGTATGGGTGGCAGAAGCTGCTCATCATTTTGGTACCCTACCGCCCATGGCGCGCGAAAGCACATGGCGTAACAGCCAGAAAAAACTCACTGAGATAAAAAAGACAGTACAATATAATAAAGCCATTGCTAACATGCGCCCTGGTGAGTTAACTACACACCCCTCCCTTTTCACATTCCATCCAGACCTGCTCGTTAATAGCACGACAAAACCACTTCCCCATAAAAACAGGACAACTTTTCCATTAAAACAAACGCCGTAACTCTGAAGAACCTATCATATCCTGACACTAATTGACGGCTAAGTCAACTCCGTTAGCTCCCAGAAAAAAAAAAGCCGCCTTTTTTAATTGTTGTAAATTCATTACCATATCTAACCGGTAATAAATATGACTTTTGGTTTTTTCTTTCCTCTACAAGACCAAATATAAAATACCATTGGTAAAATTTTAAAAATTATTCTTGAAAATAAAATTTGTAAAATGATTTTTCCTTCAAAAAAAAAATTATTTACTATCGCAGTGCCAAAACATTTGCATCTTTTTTGATACACAAGGGAGATGCTGAAAGTTAAAAAAGAAGGAGAGGTTAAAAAATGTAGGTGACCTGTTAATCCCGGTAATAAGGACTGGTTAAAATTTGACCGCAGTTGAAATGATTGCAACAATGTTTTGACCAGAGATGGTTAAAGTAGTCTCTTCTCCTTCACAAACAACACACGAAAAAGAGACACACACAAAGAAGATAGAGAGAGAAACATAGAGAGAGAGAGAGAGAGAGAGAGAGAAGAGAAGCGAGAGAGAGAGAGAGAGAGAGAGAGAGAGAAGAGAAGCGAGAGAGAGAGAGAGAGAAGAAAGAGAGTGCTGTGTGTGTATACAGAGAGAAGTGTGAAGGCAAGATTGAATTGGTAGCTAGAATTGTAGAAGAAGAGAGAAGTGAAGAGCAAAATTGAAGTTTAAATGAGGAAATTTGGTGGAGAAATAAGAGGGAGGTGGTTTTTATGGTGTTAGTGTTTCTTCTGTGTATGTAACTGTGAAGATTAGTTCTGTTTTAGTGAGAGAAACTTAGTTTTAGAGAGAGAGATTGGAGAAATGGTGGATTAGAGTTGGATTATTCTGAAATTAAGTTTACTACTCTGTTCTAAGGAGATTAAGAAGAGATCTAAAGTAAGAGAATGAAAGATAGTGATAATTTTGTGGCTTCTTCAGAGATTTCAGCAAAAGCTAACAGTGGAAACATTAAAGGAGGAGGAGAGAGCTTCTCTTCTGGTTACAGTGTAGCTATGGAGGGGCAAAGAGGTCATTCTACTCGTCCAAGTTCAGCTACAGGTACAATCCTTGCTTAAGTGGATTTTTGTGGATTTATCTTCTTTCCTTTTTTTTATGATTTTGAGTTCGTTTTTTGTTGTTGCTGTAGATGCGGACACGGCGCTGTATAATGAGCTATGGCATGCTTGTGCTGGTCCTTTAGTGACCGTACCTCGCGAAGGAGATCGTGTGTTTTATTTCCCTCAAGGACATATAGAGCAGGTTTTGTTTTGTTTTAGTTGCGTTGTCTTTGAAATTTTTGAAATTTTTAGCAATAATTTAGTGTTTTTGTTTTATTTTTGTGGGTTTAGTTTGTTTTCTTGATTTTTGAAGGTTTTCTTGTTGGAATTTTGGTGTGATTTGGTTGTGGAATGGATGTAGGTGGAGGCATCGACGAATCAGGTGGCAGACCAGCAGATGCCGGTATATAATCTTCAACCAAGGATCTTATGTCGTGTAGTTAATGTTCAATTGAAGGTATGGGAAATCTGCTGTTTAGTTTGAGTTGGATTTTGAGGTTTTTGACTGCGAGGTTTTGCTGATGGGGTAATTTGTGAATTGTTATAGGCTGAACCAGATACTGATGAGGTGTTCGCACAAGTGACTCTGCTTCCTGAGCACAACGTGAGTATCTGCTGGTGATTTGTGCTTATGTGGTGTTCTGATAATTGGGATGGAATGGGAATAGAAATTCTGATTATTTTCATGGTTTATTTAATGCCAGCAAGACGAGAATGCCTTGGACAAGGAGCCGCCTCCACCTCCATCACCGCGATTTCATGTGCATTCATTTTGTAAAACCCTGACTGCTTCTGATACAAGTACACATGGTGGATTTTCAGTTCTTAGACGACATGCAGATGAATGTCTTCCACCATTGGTGGGTTTTACAGCTTCTACGGTTCTACCTAGGGTGTACCTTTGGGTTTTGTTGTATCGGGACTTGGGTTGTAAGTTCGGATGTTTAATGCTTGCTGTGTAACAGGATATGTCAAGGCAGCCCCCAACACAGGAATTGGTTGCCAAGGATTTGCATGGAAATGAATGGCGTTTCCGGCACATTTTTCGGGGTAATCATTTCATACAAACAATCAGCTTAGTGTTCCCTCTAGTATGGTGGGGACATGCAAACGATTCTGCCTATTTTTGAATATATTGAAACCCCGTTTAGCATGAATGCCACTGTTATTGCTATGATGTTGTCAAGTGTCATATAGTTTTCATGCATTTAGTTTCAAGGCATGGATCTTTATTGTAGCATTCGATATACCTGGTTGCTTAGTCTACACAATAATTTCAATGCCAGGTCAACCACGGAGGCACTTGCTTCAGAGTGGATGGAGCGTGTTTGTTAGCTCCAAAAGGCTTGTTGCGGGTGATGCGTTTATATTTCTAAGGTTTGCTTTCTTCTTTATACCTTTAGATTTGATGTTTTAATTTAATATTTATGTGTCTGTAGTGGGGTAAAATGTGTATTTTGCATTTTTAAGAGGTGAGAATGGTGAACTTCGAGTTGGTGTTAGACGTGCAATGAGACAGCAGGGTAATGTTCCATCATCCGTCATATCCAGCCACAGCATGCATCTCGGTGTGCTTGCTACAGCATGGCATGCTGTTTCAACAGGGACAATGTTCACTGTTTATTACAAGCCAAGGTGAGTGGTTTATTACTAGTGTAGAGAAGAAGTATGATACGGGTCAAGTCATTTGTGTATGAGTTTGTGACATGTAAATTTGTATAGGTCTCATTTTTCCTTCATTCTGATTTTTGTTCGTCATGGGATTTGAATGTTGGTTAGCATGGTCTGATTGATTCCTTGAAGATTAACAGTCTTATTGTTTAGTAACTTATGCTGGGAAACTGAACTGAAAGGGGAATCTGTGGCTTTCGTCTATTATATCAGCATATTAACAAATGTAATTGAGTGCTTAATTTGCTTTCTGTTGGTTTCCTTACATATTCTAAATGTCTTGCTACAGGACTAGTCCTGCTGAGTTCATTGTCCCTTTTGATCAATACATGGAGTCCGTCAAGAATAATTATTCCATAGGGATGAGGTTTAAAATGAGATTTGAAGGAGAAGAAGCTCCTGAGCAAAGGTATGATTGCTGCTTGCTTCGAGGTTTTGTGCTGAAAACTACCTGTTATTTGGAAGTTAAATGTTCATTGGTAGTTTTCTCATTGGTAGGCCTCTGTTTTTCTTGTATTTCTTGTTTGCTATTTAAGCATTGTGGGATTATTGGATGTTTAGGTCTCTGGAAGACATAACGTTTTTGGTTGTTCATGATTCTCTGCTGTAGATTTACTGGCACTGTTGTCGGAATTGAAGATGCTGATCCCAATAGGTGGAAGGATTCTAAATGGAGATGCCTTAAGGTATTACTTCAGTATTTATGATGGCATGCAATACTTTCATTCGGAGTGTTAAGTAGTGTCTTTTTATCTTTACTTTCAGGTGAGATGGGATGAAACTTCTTCAATATCTCGACCAGAGAGAGTTTCACCCTGGAAAATAGAGCCTGCTCTGGCACCTCCTGCACTAAATCCTCTTCCAATGCCCAGGCCAAAAAGGCCCCGAGCAAACATGGTGCCCTCTTCCCCTGACTCCTCTGTTCTAACTAGAGATGGTAATCCTGCGATTCACTCATTGATGTTTTCATGGATAATTTAAGTGGATAGAATGATGTTCAAGTCTCTTTATTATTAATGTGTAGGTTCATCCAAAGTAACTGCAGACCCTCCATCAGCAAGTGGATTTTCAAGGGTCTTGCAAGGTCAAGAATTCTCGACCTTGAGAGGCAATTTTGCAGAGAGCAATGAGTCTGATGCTGCTGAAAAGTCTGTTATGTGGCCGCCCTCAGCAGATGATGAGAAGATTGATGTGATGTCTACTTCGAGAAGATTTGGATCGGAGAGGTGGATGTCTTCTTCAAGGCATGAGCCAGCCTACACAGATTTGCTGTCTGGCTTTGGGACAAATGCTGACTTGTCTCATGGGTATGGCGCTCAGTTTATTGACCAAACTTCTTTGGGTGCTAATCCAATGAAGAAACACTTGTCAGATCAAGGACAGTTTAACTTGCTTGCTAGCCCATGGTCTGCTATGTCCTCAGGCCTCTCGCTAAAGTTGTCAGAGTCAAATACAAAGTTTCCAGTACAAGGCAGTGATGTAACATGTCAACCACGGACAAATATAAGATGCAGTGCATTTAGTGAGTACCCCATGCTTCATGGTCACAGAGTTGAGCGGTCACATGGAAACTGGATGATGCCTCCGCCTACATCTCATTTTGATAATCATGCTCATCCAAGAGAGCTAATGCCCAAGCCCGTATTGATGCAAGAACATAATACTGGAAAATCCTTCGACGGAAACTGCAAGCTTTTCGGTATTCCCTTGAAAATTAGTAAACCTGTTGCACCAGAGCCAGCTGGACCAACAAACGCAATGAACGAACCAATGGGTCATGTTCAACCCGTGAGCCACCAATTTACATTTGAATCTGATCAAAAGTCAGAACAGTCCAAGGGTTCAAAGATGGCTGATGAAAGTGAAAACGAGAAACCATTTCAAGCTGGTTATTTGCGTATTAGGGACAATCATGGAAAAGCACAAAATGGCTCAACCAGGAGTTGTACAAAGGTTCTTGCCCATTTATTCTCAAATGTCTTTTCTTTTGGTTATATTAGATGTTGGTATATGCCGAATTAGAAAAAAATCAAGAGCTAATTGGATCTTTTTTTTTTTACTTAAGGTTCATAAACAGGGGATTGCACTTGGTAGGTCTGTTGATCTTGCCAAGTTCAATAACTATGATGAGTTGATTGCTGAATTGGACCGGTTGTTTGAATTTAATGGTGAATTAATGGCTCCCCAAAAGAATTGGCTGATTGTGTATACTGATGATGAGGATGATATGATGCTTGTTGGAGATGATCCCTGGCAGTAAGGACCCTACTTCAATTTGTTTGAAATGTGTTGTCAGTTGTCTTTTGAATCAGATATAGGCATCTGTGTCTGTTTTCTTTTTCTTTGAGGGCCTCGCATAACTTTAGTCTTCTTGTGTGTGAAACAGGGAATTTGTTGGCATGGTTCGAAAGATAGTTATTTACACCAGAGAGGAGGTACAGAAGATGAAACCAGGCACCTTAAATTCGAAGGGCGATGATACTCCTTTGGATGTGGATGTTGAGGATGCTAAAGAAGCCAAACACCTGCTGTTTCCTGCAGCCTCTAGCCCTATGAATTGTTAGATTTGGCTCGCTCCCCTGGGTTCTAGGTAATTTTCTAGTTGTACGAAACAAGTTTTTGCTTTCCATAGCAGTAAATCCTGTTCAGATACTAAGAACCCTTTCCCTTGTAATTACATTTTCTTGATTAGAAATTGACAAAGAAATATTATGTGCTGTTCTCATGCCAGGTTTTGGGTACAGGCAGCTAGAGAGTGCAGTGGTCATTTCAGTTGGTAATGTGGATGCCAGTCCACCTATTCAGGGTTTGAAGTTTGCTGGTATCAGAAATAGATGCAAGAATGATATAAATCCAATTTTGGACCGTTTATGGGGTTATTAGGTATTGTATGGTGTCCAGTTATACATAAATATATAAATACCCGTAATGTCAAAGCGAGGCAATCATACCCTTGCTTTTTTCCCAAACCCATCCCCCCACCACCTTGTACATAACTATCTTACCTTCGCCCAACCTCTTAATGTAAGTAAGTTTATACATCATCTAATTAATGGGTTTTTGGGCAGTTCTAGCTCATCCTCTTAATGTTTCATGTTGTTGGATTCCATGTTTCCGACCATCTCACTGTATGCTAGCACATACCATTTTATCGTTCAAGGACTTCTTCAGAATTGACTTCCAACATCTCTCGAGTGTGTGCTCTAAAGTAGGCTTTTGGGTAGGTGTTAACTACCCCTCGTAGGACGGGGCTTTAAAGGGAAAAATTTACGGTAGAAAAAGGTCAAGAAGGTGGGTGGTTGAGAGTGACAGACCCATTCTTGCTTCTTTTATCGGGGAACCTACCCAGTAGTAAATTAAGGGGGCTTAAGTCTCTGCATGGGGGTTGCGGGGCCAGGGCACCCTTTGGTGAGGGGTTTACGTTGATGGGGGAACAAGGGGTGCCCACATGTAGAAGATAAGGTAAAACGTAACTGGGTCTCATTTGTTGCATCAGCCAATTGATGGTATTGGGGCGGCATCTAATCTTATCTCAATTCTCAGGCATGTATGTGTGTGATAGTTTTCACCTCGTCTCGCAATCACCCTTTTCGCTTGGTTGTCCCTTTAAAATTCTGGTTTATGTAAAACACTGTTGTTGGGGGTTTCTTTTTCCATGGACATCATCATCTGATGCTTCTTACCTGGTTTTGTTCTCCCATGTTTCCATATCTCGCTTGGTGGATGGGAATTTAACGTTGTCTTAAAAAATCAGAGTACCATACAAAATATCATATTGAAGGTTAAAATTGGAGAAAATGCTTAAGCTGGACGTGGTTTATGATAGGCCGAGCTAGCAGATTTTATGAGATTCAAAGGAGAGACGTTACTGTGGGTATGGTTCATGATAATCAGGGAGGGTCACCTGATGATTTTGCATCAACAAAATTCATTTTATTTCTGTTGTAATTATTGTAGTTGTTTTTCTTTTGGTTTTTCAAGGTAAAAATATTTAATCGGAAAGTGAATTTCTTTTTACATTATTATGTGAATTCACTGTAAAGCAATTTGATTTAAAGCTAAAATACCTAAGAGAACGAAAAAAATAAAATCAGGAGAATAGACATGATTGTAGGAGAAAAAGGATTTTCCGGTTAACAGTGCGAAGGACATCAAATGTGTGGGCTTGACATTTTCTACCAACATTTCATGGAAATGGGCTGTCATAACTTGTAAGTAAAGAAGACTAAAAAACACTTCTGAGCTGGACTCGACAAGTTCCCTTAGACATTTCAAGGAAATCGGCTGTTGTAACTTACAGAGAACACTAGGGTGCATATAACTTTTACCGTCTGTTTCTGATGAGCTGAGTATGGTAGACAGCTCGAGCATGACAAGTCTATATGGGAAAAATTTTGAGCAACAGCATGAGAGTATGGTTCCAAATGGGAATTTTATTGAAATGCTTAAAGCAAGCAGGAAATTATAGAATTCTGATTCTTCAAAAAAACTTCAAAAAACTAATGGTGAATTTTTCTGCATGAGACCTATCCTACAGAAGCCCCCGAAGGCTGCTAACTAACAACTATTGGTGGCATAGAAGGCCACTTTGATTGACAAAAAGATAACAATTGAGAGCAACTTTTCCTGTCGAACTTCATCATAACCTTTTCTTCAAGATCAATTGATTACTACATCATCCCATGGAAGCCAACTGAATCTAAGAGCACTGCTTTAATTTGATCTGGAAGCATGTCCTGCCCTTCTTTGCATTGCTGAGGAATAAAAAGATATGTCAGCGATCCAGGGATGAAACATGGACAACACAACAATCAGTTTGTGCAAACCCTTGGATAGATGCAAGAAAGAAGTCACGAGACAGTATATCCGATGTACTATAAGTGAATACCATTAGCATGATCTATATTCCAAAATTTTAAAAGAGACTTGCAAATAGACAAGCTCAACTCTTCGCCATATAAAGATTGATGTTGAAGGTCACATGGATCAATGCATAAAATACCTGGAACTTTCTCCTTCCATTTCATCAAAGAACAAATACCAACTAATGGAATCAACAAAAAGAACTAGATATTTGCTTCGTTTTTAACTTAACAGGGCGGGTTGATATCAGTTAAGACAAGGCTTGCAAACACATGGTGTGGAATTCAGCTTCGTATTCTAAATTAAGAACTACTGGAAAAAAATGTACCTCAGCTCGGAAGATATCCATGGCAAAACCATTGAAACAGCTAATGACAGCTTGCTGGATGTCTAGCCCAATGTTATCCAAAGCTCTCATGGTAGAGAGCAAAAGACCTGGTTTGCGGCCACAAAACATGTGTATGTTTACAGCCCGGCCTTCTCTCATTCTAACTTCAACCTGCATGTGTAGCGAAATAGAAACTCAACTGTTGAAATACTCGTGTAACACCATAGTAAAGTTGACGTCTGAGAATATTAAAAGAATGCATGAAAATACCATTTACATATAAAAACAAGTTTCCCTGTCTGGGTAACAACAGAATTAATCAGCCATTTACAATATGTACTAAAGAACAGACTACGTGCAACCATGTTTGTGCTTGATGGGTTATTCAGAGCCCTTAATATCCAGGTGCACTCTTCTTTCAATATTAGAAGCAGAAGCTGAATGTCATGGAATGGAAGTAGAAAATAGGACAACCAAACAGCCAGGTGATCATGTTAGATACACTAGAGGCAATAAGAAAATCACAGTACAAAGAGGAAAAACATTACCCTTGCAGGTTGGCCATTTGGGCTTGGCAATGAGCTGGGGCACAGTTTATCCATGATACGGCTGGGCAGTGCCGATGGAGTCGGTGTCAAAGGGTGAAAACTTGTGGTGGGTGTCAATGAAGAGCTAGGAGGAGTTGACTCCAATTCGTTATGGAGGTCATTAATCCTTTGCAGAAGTTCCTTCAAGTATTCTATTGCATCCCCAAGGATTGACGCCCTATCCATCTGTCAGCACAAGGCCAATAAAACTCACATCATATGATTTTCAAAAAGCATGGGTGAAAATTTTGAAGTTCCAAAATTCAAATGCATCTCTTAGTGATTTGGCTTAAGGAGAGTCGGAGGTGTCTTTTTTCCTCCAAAAATGTCAGATTTTAGAGAAAGCATTTATTGAGATCAGCCAAATTAAACAAAAAGCACAAAAAATAAAGACTAATGTTTCAAGAATTTGTCATGTCCATCATGAATCTCAATATTCCTCTGTCCAAGATGACTATTGAACCTGTCATGTCAGCCCATTGATAAAATTTCAAAGACAGATGCTCGAGGTTCAGCCAAACCAGACAGTAAGAAAATAGATCATTTTGAATCTGTTTATTTCTTCCGTGGTTAATGAATCTATATTAGTACGAAAAACTAAATGACAAAAGATATGTCTGAGGAAACTGTATATATATATTCTTAAGATCCAGTATATAATGGATCAGGCCAGGTACTCCTTCCGAAACCATGGAAGTCCAAACGGTTAGGCGTGGACTGCAATTTATGTTGGACTGAAAGTGAAGAGTTTGGCTTTAGCCAAATCTTTAAAAAATTCAAGGCATCTTGTGTTTTTCACATGTGGTTCAAAGCTTTATAAGTTAAAATAAGCACCAACCTTTACGCTCTTCTCATGTTCAAAACATAATCTCAGATCTTTTAAAGTAAGCTAACAACTCATATCAGAATCACAAGCTGTGTATTGGAAGGGGATTTCTCAACATTCTCATTGCTGAATGCAAACTACAACTTAATAATCAACCTCAGGAATAAATAAACCAAAAATCGAGATCCATGAGCATGCCATGGCAAGAAAGGAACCTATACTAAGCAGGAATCACAAACAAATTAGAAGGGTTAGGAACATGGAACCTCAAACTGACACAGATAGAGAGCACTGTAAAGTCTATGGAAGAAAGCAAAACATATCAGCGAAAGGCATTCAAAGTCATAAGATTTAACCAATTTCATAGGAAAGAAGAAAGAAAGAAGAAGAAGAAATTTTGCAATTCAACAACTTTATTTTGGAGAATATTAAAGGAGAATTTTAGTTCCCTAACAATTGCTCAAAATATTATGGTGAAAGTAAACAACGCTGGCAGGGTCCATGTGAGAGGAATTAATGCAGCCTTTTTTTATTCATTTTTCAACACGCAAAACCAAAACATACTACTCATTCAAAAGAAAAAAAAAAAACAGGAGGAGAAGAAGAGGAAAAATTACAAACACATTCTCTCTTTCTGTCACACAGACACACACACAAAAAAGCATGCTGAATGATTGTAAGGACAAAAAAATAGCAGCAGAAAATTCAAATTCACAAGAAAATAATGAAGAAGAAAATTCTTACTTTGCTGATCTTTGGAACAACGGACCTCAGCATGTATAGCCTATCATTGAGCTTCTTCCGGCGTCTCCTCTCTGCCATCAAATTCTTAGCCGGAAGCCCCTTCTTCTTACCCTTTTGATCCACACCACCACCACCACCAGTAACGCCACTATTCGCCTTTGAACTATTCCCACCATTCTTACCAATATCCTCCAACCTAGTGTTCTCAGTAAAATCATCAGAGTCATAATTCAAACCTGACCCATCAATGCTCACATCCTCAAGAAAATCATCTCCACTACTGAATTTTCTCTTCTTGTCATTCTCTTCACTAATTTGAGTCATTTCACTCTTCCCTTTATCTCTCTCAATCCCACTCAAGACTCCCAAATTTCCTCCATTATCACCCAAATTCTTCCTCAAAGCTGCTCTCTTTTGAAACAAAGTAGGCTGTGCACCTATTGAAGGGTAAGTTTCAAGAGGCCTTAACAATTTAGACCTGTTTAAAAACAACTGATTCCCTGAATTCTCATCAAACCCTCTAAAATTTGTAAACCCAGGACCATTTTCAGGCAATTGAAGCATACTGGAACTTGAAAATTGAGGATCAGAACATAAATTAGGAATGCTAATCTGACCATGTGAGCTCAAATCAGTGAAATTCCCCAAATTTCCCAAAACTCCACTTCCCCTGCTTAACAAAGCTGAAACATTTGCTGTTGCAGCTGAATTTGTTCCTTGATTCTCAAGGTAACCAATTTCACTCAAATCAAACCCATGCTCTAAAGGGTTGTTAGAAACCACATTAAGGAGTGAAGACAAAGTGGGTTTTGGATGCATAAAGTAATGTACCTGAGAAGGATCCAAATTATTGAAAACTGAAGAGGAAGGTGAACAAGAAGAGGAAGAATCCACTTGGTGAAGCAAAAGATTATCTGGGTCACCGAGACTAGGTGAAAAGGTGAGGTCTTTGATGCTATCTTGATGGGTTTGATGAATAGTACTATTGTTGTTACTCACATACCACTCATCTTCCACTTCAAGCATAGATTTGAAAGTAGAAAGAGAACCCATTTCTTCTTTGCCCTCCAACATAACCCCACCACAACAAGCTGCGGTGGGATTGTTAATGTTGTTGTGGTGGTGGTTCGTTGTTGAATCTTGCTCTTCTTTGTGATCTTCAAGCCAAATATTGGTGCTATTTAGTCTAGAAAGCATGGTTTTTTCTAGTCTGTTTCAGAGAAAACTTAAGGAAAGAAAACAAAACGAGCTGCTAAAAAGAAAAGGGGTGAGAGAAAGAGAGGGAGTTAAAGAGAGAGAAGAAGAGGACGTTGCAGAAGGAAAAGGGCTTTAGCTTTTTATAAGGTAAGCTAGCTTTATTGGCATTGCAAGAGCCAGAGAGGTAAAGATGTCCATTTTTGAGAAAGGATGTGACACGCTATCCCTTTGAACGTTACACTAATCACTACCACCCTACAACCTCTGTCTCTTTCTCTGTTTTGGCTTGTTTTTTTATATTTTCCAAATCACATCAGGGCCACTCGTTCTTCTAACCTTAATTTTGTGCATCATCTTGTTCCTGTTTTGCTTCCTACGACTGCCAGGAAAGAAAGAGACTCAGTTCCGTTTTAAGTTCCCTGAAATTATTAATCTTTTTGAGGGGACAAATAATAATGACCTAAAATTTTTGCACTTTTTACCTATATATATATATATATATATTGCTACAAATGCCAACAAAGAAAACCATGCTTCTAAATTGCTACCCACCACTACCATATGTTTCTTCAATCTATTTTCCTTTAGAATGGTTTTATTTAGTTGTTCATACATGGTATTTTCACTCATCTATAAAATTAAATCCTCTCTTGCTCCAGTTTTAGGCAAATCCTCGATGTCATCTTTAATGATTTATTCATAATTGTCTTTTCTTGTCATGGCTATAAATTTTTTTTTTTTTTTTTTTGATATTGCATGATTTTTGGCATTCCAAATGATGATAGGTGTGTAAGTGTCAGTGTAAGTGTGTAACCATATATCATACTGTGCACAAACCGTTCATACGTTAATTTTTGTTGGTCTGAAATTACTAAATTCGACCGTATTTTTTGTATATATTTCGACACGTATGATTTCAATCGGTTAAAATAATCATGTCTGTGAGGTGTGCATGTCGTGATATGCTTTTACCGTTTTTTTCTTTTATTTTCAAATCCAAAATAATAACGCAAAAAACAGCACATTTACCCTTTTTTTTTTGGAAGGAACGAAAAAGATAGATTTAATTTTGAAATTGTTGCCTTTTTTTCCGATAATGAAAGCCCTCCCCCTTTGTTTTCAATAACAAAGACAAGCGGGTAAAATTGCAATCTCACTTCTTCTTCTTCTTCTTCTTCTTCTTTTTGGTATATTAAGAAAAATTCAGACAAAAAAAAAAAAAAAAGGGCATTGATCGTAATTTTTTTTTGCGAAATTTGGCCTAAACAGTAAACAGAATCTGATTATATTATTCTTCTGGAATTATACGTGGGAAAATGTTGTTTGAAAATGCAAATGATTCTCATGAAACATCAAACTCTTCATTTTAGTTTTGTCGCTCAAAAGGCCATTTTTTTCCCATGAACAACAAGTTCGTAAAATTCACATGGCAGAATTGAATACAGCAAATATTACATTAATCTTGTTAGCTAAAAAATATATATATATATATATATACACTTTATGATGGCAAATAGTTGATAAGTTCGTGTCCGTACCTTATCTCAATAGCAACCAATTGTTGTTGGCAAACGGTTTAATGACATTTTTGCTAGAGATGTGGCATATTGACACCTATACTATCAATTTTAATCTTGAATAACTATGTTTTTTTTTTTATAATTATTGTCCATCTGTTTGATTTGACTGGTATTATAAAAAAAAATTAAAAAATCAAAATTTGGCATTTTGAGGTGATTTTTTTTTCACATGTGCTAATAAAAATTCAATATGCCTTTCAGAATAATTGAAAAACATTTTGAGGTCAAGAAACATTTTTATTTTTCTTAAACATTAACTATTAACAAAAATAAAAAATAGTAAATAGATCAAATTTTATTAGGAGGCCTTAAAAAATCATGTAATTTGTTATCTTTTAAGAAAAAATCAGCTGAAAATGCCAAAATTAAATTTTTTTAAGGGATTTTTCGATCAATAGCAACGGTCAAATCAAATGAAAGGATGATATTTGTCAAAAAAAAAACGTTTAGGGTTAAAATTGATTAATTAATAGTATTAGTCTCAATTTGTAACAATCTTAATAATTCAAGGACAAACAATTGCCATTAAGCCACCAACAAACGACGAGTGATGCCTGCCTGTCTGCCTTGGTATATTTTAAGCTGTGGTCCCAATTCCCATATTTTTGCTTATTCACAACATATATCTTTCTTACAAGTAATGGACTGTAACCGTAACTAACTTTATTTGTATGGAAATGATGATTTAGTTAGAGATGAGTTTTAATCTTTTCATCATTCCAAGGTTAAAGTTTTTATCTTTCGATAATTTCAAGGTTAAAGTTTTACTATAAACCAACTTTTTTATTTATAATTGTCTCAAAATGTTTGTCTTGTTAAAATTTTTAATCCTATATTTCTTTTAAAATATTCATATTTTGTAATGTAATATTAAATTGGATAAATTTTTTCTTAAACAAAAATGGGTATTTTACAAAAGAAGTACTAAAAAATACTGCTATAACATTATAATTAATGTAAAAAGTCAAAAGAAATTATTACTTTGACATGGAAAAAGTACTAAAATGTACCGACCAATTTCAAAACCAGTTTAGTTAATCCGCTAATTACATACCCATGTTATAAATTTTTTGATGAAAGCGTTTCTAATTGTCTGAAAGGATGATTGGACATAATAATTGAAGATTAAAGAATTATTATTATTAATTTTTTTAATTTAAAAGCTGATTATCTTTTAATCATTTTTTGTATCTATGAATTCGTTTTTAAAACCAAGAGTTTAAAATTTCCTATACTTTTAGAATCGTAAAAACAAATATAAATCTTATGGTAGCCATAAGAAAACATGAAGTGAATACCGTATGGGCAAATATTGGTGGGTGCATGAGGATTCGTTCGATACAATTTTACTGAAAAAAGAAGGGTGCTTTTGCGTGAGCTATTTTGGCTTTTGCACTTTGTAGATTGTTACGGTGGACTTCGGATATGATCATATGGAAAGCAATTCAAAATGGTATTCACTAATTGTTCAAACACAAAAGGCATTCTGTATAAACGTGAATTTGAATTAGAATATTCAATCAAATTTTCAAAACAAAAGGTCTTCACCACGACGTGATCTTGAATTTAGAACATTCAAAACATAAACTTTTCAACCTCAAACCTTACAACTAGCTAGGGTACTAACAAATATTAATTCATATCATTTAAGTCAAAGAAATCAATGTCATCTGCAAAAAAAACTTGGGTGTCATTTGGTTACCGTAAATAAAATGTTTAGAATAAAAATACATAAATCAAAATAATATTTTCATTCCAATATTATATTTGGAATAATAATAATAATAAATCAAAATAAAATTTTTTATTTGGTTTTTAAGTTGAATAAAATAATAATTAAAAAAATAATTTCATCAACTATGATAAGATTAAAAATGATAGAGATAATTACAGTTGAGACAGTGAAAAAAGAACGATAGTTGTGGTAGTAATAGTGAACTTGTTGAACAATATTAATAATAATATGTTTTAAAAAATAATAATGCCATCATTGTAAGAGGTGGTAGTGAACTAAGAGCGATGATGGTATTGGTATAATAAAAATAACGACAATGGTGATGATGATAGAAATAGTTGATTTACGATGAGCAAAAAATAATATATCATTATTTTTATTTCTATGTTTTCTCGTGAGAATGAAACTATGTTTAATTTTTATTCTCATTTTCACTTTTTATTTTTATTTTTCAATTCATTTTTTTAATCAAATACATATAAAATAATAACAAAACTTTCATTTTTATTTTATTTGATGTTTTAAGTTGTGAACTTTGAATTGCAGATACAATAGCTCAATTATTTGCTTCCATCTTGATTGAATTGATTTGTACCTTTTTTTTTCTTGTTTTTGTGGTGGGGTTTTTTTAATTAATAATTTTATTAGAGTTTTGATAAAGACAAGACTCAAACATGAAATTTTATTAGAGCTTTGACAAAAATAAAATTTAAACATAAGATTTCATCTATCTTGTTTATATTTATTGATATCTAACTATACAAAAACTATTGCTTCATAGTCAAACACATCAAGTTTATTTTTTCAATTTTTTTCAAATATTTTCATCATACAATTCGTTTAAAAATCATTTCATTTACTATTGGACGAAGGATAATTCGTTGGTAACACGTCAACTTGATTAGCGCTAGCATTTTGAAATTTGAAGGACTTTGTTTTAATTTTTTTTATTTGATTATTTGTTTGCAATTGACTTTAAAAATCTTAAGGAGAGATTTCGCATATTTACATTTTGTTTGTGGGGATAGATTTGAGGAGGATATGTGCATGTAAAGGTTTGCTCTCCTCCCCAAGTATCTCGTGAATCTTTTTACTTCACCGCACCTAATACCCAATCAAAAACCTTAACTTGTCTGGCCCCAAAACCTTTTTCTTTTTCAGGATTTGGTTGGTCAACAGTTACTTCTCCTCTTCCCACACTTGTCTACCATCATCTCCCCACCTTTCCAAAGTTTCTGTTACTCTTATCGCCACCTTTTTTCCCCTCTTTAATTCTTTTACACACACACAAACCTATATATATATATATATATATATATATATATGATAGAATGCCTTAACCAGTACGTACTTTGAATTTGAGATGAATGATCAAATTGTATGTTGCCAACTCATCTACAGCAATCCATTAATGATCTGATAAATATAAAGCTTTGTTTTTAATGGAAAATTCATCTTTTGAAAGTTTTTATAATTAAATTACATTGCCATGTCTTACGTATCCTCCATGCTTTCAGTTTTCTCACTAACAAATACTTCCTTGATTTTTTCAATTTTTTTTTTAAAATCTTATTCTTGCACCATATCAATCCACTTCCTCTTCCCCTAGTTAAGTAATCGGATTTGAATAATTTTTTTCACTTAAAAAACAAAAGAAAACGAATGTTTATCAAATGAATTTTTTT